CCCCACCCTACCAACCAAACTTTGCATGTTAAATGTCTACCATGTTCAACCACTGAGATTCCAGTTTATGTGCCACAGCTAGTGTTACCTTAACTAATACAGTAGAAGCAGATTAATCAGGACTGACTTCCTTAGAAGAGGAGCCGGATTCTGATCTGGGCATGTCCAACTTACTACAAAGTCAATTGAATGAATTTACATGATCAGAAAGGCACTTCATCAGGCTGAAAATAAAGATGTGGTTGAGCCACAAAGCCTTTGTTTCTGCTCTTTCTTTGGGGACCTGCCGTTGGCTCTAGATGAGATCTTCTGCTTTGTCAAAGGTCCTTTTCTCTTTTTGTGGCTGATCGAGATCCAAGCTGGTGAATCACTCACTCTTCAGCCAGGAAAACATAACATTCTTTATTGCAAATCACTTTAGAGTTTGTGCAAGGCTAGAGTTGGGGTGATCTGCTCCAAGGGTTGGAAAGGGCCCTGGATGAAAGCCAGGACCCAGACCCCTCGGGCTCCCTTGACACTTCTGATCTTCAGTGGTCCCATCCCTCAAACAGGATCAGATCATAATCCTCATAAGGGATGGTAGGGAGAAAAGTGCTTTGTCAGATGCTTCAGAATCTGTCTGGAGACGTACACACCATGTCCAGCCACCTCCAGCCATCTGCTCCCCGAGAATCTATCTACCCTCCATCCCAGGCCACAGGTAGAGAACCTGAGCATGTCGCTAGCCAGAGTGTGTGACTAAAGGGAAATCCCTTCCTGATAAGCACTGCTGGGATTTCAAGAGCCATACTTAGAACTCTGGGGCTTTCCAGCCAGAGTGCTTTCAGTAAGACACAGTACTTTCTTGAGTTGAGATGTTTAGATGGGCCTGACCTGGAGGGTTGAGGCCTGTTCAGGAGAATTTATGACCTCATTGGCCTTAGCTTGTGGTTCTCCCACAGGCAAAAGAGGCAAACAGAGCTCTGGGTCAATCTGATCATGTCCTCCCAGCCAGCCCACATTATTCATATCCATTAAGATTGCATCTGATTGCACATAACAGAAACTAATAGAACAGTGTCTATCTGAAAAAACACTCAGAAAGTCTATCCCACTTTCACGATGGGAACCGCTGGCCAAGGAAAAGGGCTCGGAGAGACAGGCTACAGGGGGAAATTGCAGTAAGTGAAAAAGATTTGCTCAGACTTCCACATTTGTCACATCTCTGACCCCTCAATTTAAAATTGCCCCCCCCACTTGACTCTATTGTATTAAAATTGCACACACCCCCCCCTCCCCACACTTGACTCTATTGTATTTTCCTTCCTGGCACTTACCACACCACCTGACATCAGATGCAGTATTTATTGCTTACTTATCTGTCTTCCCTAGTTTCTAGAACAGTGCCTACCTTACAGTAGGTACTCGGTAAATATTCGTTACATAAATGAATACATCATTTCATTTACAGTTTCTCAACAACGGAATGTGGCAAGCAGGATAAAAGATGCTGTTAGCCACTTTACAGATGGGGAAACCGAGGCCCAGAAGGTTGACTTCAGAAAAGCCACCAGAGAACTCAGGTAGCCCCAGTCCTTTTGATTCCTAGTCAACCCTCCCCCCCCACCCCCCCTCCCCGCAAGCAGGGGAGGGGGGAGGTAGAGAGGCTTTTGACACGCCCCAGACTTATGAAAGATCTCATCTGGGCTCTGCTCAAAAATTTGATAAATTACTCAGGGATAAGGTGATTAGAGAAGGAGACCCAACAAAGAGCCTGGGACTAGGGATTTTAGAAGCCAGTGGCCTGAGGGTTGGGAAAGGAAAGGGGACATTATCCCTGAACAGGTAGCTTTTTGGTGCCCTCGATTCCACCCCCACGCCCCCAACCCCCACTATTTACTCTGCTCCCAGAGGTGCTGAGCTCCCCATCTGCGGACGTGTTTAAGCAAGGGCTGGATGTCCACTTACGGAGTAGACCCGGACTGGAGATGTGTATTCACACCCGCAGAGAAGGCGGGCTCACGGCAACACAGGATATCGTCAATAGGCAGTGGGCTCCGACACCCGCCCCAAAAAGAGGCCTTGCGCCACCTGGTGGACGGGACTTTAAACTGCAGGCCTTTCCAGGGAGAAGAGCCCACCGCCTGAGTGTCCCCAGAATCCTGGGCCATGAAGACACGATAGAGACTCTACCAGTTTCACAGGGACCCGCATTCATTCGGGAGAGCTCAACAAGGCCTCTGCGCTGGGTCAGGCACCAGTAGGTTTCAGAGAGGCCACTGTTACGGGGAGGATTTATTCACGGGACTCAGGGCTTGCTAAGGCATGTCCCTGGGATTGGAGGGAACACATCCCTCCTAAACTTTATTCCAGATTCCTGGGAAGACAAACTGAGAAGCACTTGGCAGGAGGAGGCTCATTTCTTTGTTCTGCTTGTCTTTGGATTTGGGAGTGACCTTGAATTGTCTTTGCCAGGAAGTAAGATTTCCCAGTTCTGTTCTGCATGAGAAGCCACCCACCACACACACACACACCCACACACACACACACACAAAGTAACAAAGATTTAAAAACAAACAAACAAACAAAAAATGCCGGGCGTCTGGGTGGCTCAGTTGGTTAAGGGTTAAGCACCCGACTTCAGCTCAGGTCATGATCTCTCGGTCCGTGAGTTTGAGCCCCACGTCGGGCTCTGTGCCGACAGCTCAGAGCCTGGAGCCTGTTTCAGATTCTGTGTCTCCCTCTGTCTCTGACTCTCCCCCCGTTCATGCTCTGTCTCTCTCTGTCTCAAAAATAAATAAACATTAAAAAAAATTTTTTTTTTTTAAATAAAATTTTAGGGGCACTTGGGTGGCTCAGTCAGTTAAGCATCTGACTTCAGCTCAGGTCATGATCTCACGGTTCATGAGTTCAAGCCCTGCATCAGGCTCTGTGCTGACAGCTCAGAGCCTGGAGCCTGCCTCCGATTCTGTGTCTCCCTTTCCCTGTGCCCCTTCCCCACTCACCTTCTGTCTCTGTCTCTCTCTCTCTCTCCCAAAAATAAACATTAAAAAAATTTTTTAAAAACTCTTTTAAAAGCTTTTGCCCCATGGACACCATATCCTGAAAGATTCTGTGTACCACAGTGCATATTTTCATTATGTTTATTATCCTCTTGCATCATTATTATCATCAAAGGCCTTTACAGCCACCAGTGGGAGCCACCGAGGGCCTCAGCCATCAGCATTACCACAGGGCGTTCATTTAATTGAGCAAAAGCGTAGACATTTGAAAGCTCAATGGGCCAGGGCCGTCCCATCTGAGGGGAGTGCTGGGTTCGTTCAGCCCCCCTAAGACACTGAAGCGGGCTCCGGCTCTGGGCCAGGCTTCCTTCTGCTCTGGGTGGTGACGCCCAGGGGGCCCAAGGGCAGTGGGCACCCTGCCCCAGGCCAGCGGCTCCTCTCACCACTTCTCCTTTTGGTTTCACTTCAGTTCTGGGGAAAAGGGCATGGTTTTAATTAACCATGCATCCCAAGCCTGGTCCTGGGCGTTAGAGGCCAGTCTGGTTCCCTTGAAGTGGGACAGGCTGCTAAGTCATCCGGTGGGTGAACACTCGAAGGCTCCCTGTGGACTCTAAATAATGATTTTTCCTCACAGCATCCGTTGCCCCGTGATGTGGGGCATGTGCAGTTGGTGCTGTTGGGACCCAGAGGTCCTCATGGGTCAACCACGGGACGGCCCCTCCCTGTCCCCAAAGGCTGTCCCTTCACCCTCATGAGGGTGTCAGCCCCAACCCTGGTCTGCTTTCCTGCCTTAGCAAGCAAGGTTGAACCAAGCACATGACTTGGGGACCCTTTTGCACCCCCCCCCCGCAAGGGATGGGCTTCTGCAGTCAGCCCTGCCACTGATTCCCCTGACCCACCCTCAGCTTATGGTGATCAGAAAGCCCACAGCCCCACCACACATCCAGGCCCCCCAGAAATGGGGCAAACAGAGACAGAAGCCCATAGGATCTTCTTTTTTTTTTTTAAGTTTATTTATTTAGATGGGGTGCCTGGGTGACTCAGTCAGTTAAGCATCGGACTTCGGCTCAGGTCACGATCTCAGGGTTCGTGGGTTCGAGCCCCTCATATAGGGCTCTGCGCTGACAGCTCAGAGCCTGGAGCCTATTTGGATTCTGTGCGTTCTGCCTGGGTGCGTTCTCCCTCTCTCAAAAATAAACAAACATTTAAAAAAATTTTTTTAAGTTTATTTATTTTTGAGAGAGAGAGAACGCACCTGAGCAGGGGAGGGGCAGAGAGAGAATTCCAAGCAGGCTCCATGCTGTCAACACAGAACCCAACTCAGGTCTCAATCCTGAACCATGAGATCAGACCTGAGCCAAGATCAAGAGTGGGACACTCAACTGACTGAGCCACCTGGGTGCCCCTGAACCTTCTTAGACACCCCCTGTCTGGCACCTCCCGAGCAGAATTCACCCATGCCACTTTGTCCACCACTGTCTCCAGTGGGCATGCCTCTCACTGAACCTCTCCCTGGGGACTGCGACAATGTCTGTGTGAACTTCCCAGAGGCAGGGCCGCACTCTCTTCGTATGCCACCAGCATCCCTCCCCCTATCAGCAATTAACTCACAGTGGTTTTGGAATTTTAAAAAATTTGGTTCATCATTAAAATATTTTTAAAATACGCACATTCTGATTTCAGAACAACATACTTTTTGTATATATATAATTTTGTTAATGTTTATTTTTGAGAGAGAGAGAGAAAGACAGAGTGCGAGCCAAGGAGGGGCAGAGAAAGAAGGAGACACAGAATGTGAAGCAGGCTCCAGGCTCCAAGCTGTCAGCACGGCACCCGACGCGGGGCTCGAACCTACGGATTGCAAGATCATGACCTGAGCCGAGGTCGGACGCTTAACCCACCGAGGCACCCAGGCGCCCCAGAACAACATACTTTTTTTTTTTAAAGTTTATTTATTTGGGGGGAGGGTGCAAACAGGGGAGGAGTGGAGAGAGGGGGACAGAGGATCTGAAGCAGGCTCTGCACTGACAGGCTGACAGCCGAGAGCCCCATGTGGGGCTGAGCTGCGAGATCACGACCTGGGCAGAAGTCAGATGCTCAACTGACTGGGCCACCCACGTGACCCCAGAACAACATACTTTTTAAACTCTTCCCCCAAATCGTGGAGCTATCCCTGTGGCAGCTGAGTCCAGAAGTCCCAATGAGGGGCCAAGCCAGCACAGAGGAGGGGACCAGACTCCTTCTGAGCCAGGGGCACCTTCACATTCACCGCCAGATGCTGGAGAGTTGGGGGTATGAAGACCTTACTCTGGAAACGTACGTGTTTTCTGTTCATGTCTACAAAACTTCAGAGAGAACACTTGGGTAGAAAATGTGGATTAACCTCACGGGGAGGGACCAGAGGAAGAAGCCAAGAAAGGTCGTCGCCACTAGGTTCCTCCGCGAGAGATGATGGGTCACCGGCATCGAGGAGCCCGAAGTGCGGCAGAGTCACCAGGGTTGAAGGAAGTGCTAGATGTCGTCACAAACGTACACCGTGTTACATGTCAATCATCCCTCAGTAAAGCCGGGGGGGGGGGGGGGTGGAATTTCCTTGCGAGGGAAAAAGACTGTTGGCAAGAATCCACATCGCAGAGAAGATGGAGAACAATGGAGCCTGTGCTCCTGGGTTAGTGCAGTAAGTGGTTTGACCGGACGGAGAGAGTGACTGGTGTCATTTATTTCATTAATGAACCTCTTAACACACTCACTTTTGAAATAAATTGTTTATCGACGGTTGACTTTAATAGTATCTGGCAAAAAAAGAAAAAGAAAAAGACAGACATGGCTGGCTACTTTTTCAAATCATGAGAATATATTTCCTGCTCTGTAAAATCATTTGTGAGGAAGTCCATTCTGACATGGTTCCAGTGACCCATCACTTTTCAAGAATCCGACTATGTAAAAACTGGATGTAAACCCAGAGCCTCCCCTGACGCCAGGTACACAGCAAGTGCTCCATTGATGCTGGTGGAGGGAAGGGCTGAATGAATCCTTTCATTCCTGTCACCGAGGTGTATGTTCCAGACCAGCGCCTGGGGAGATGGGGAAAGGGTGGAGATCCCCCTCCCTGGGAATGAGTGGAGAGGCCAGGGCTCCAGGCTCCGCCGGGGTGGTAGACTTCTGCCCAACCCAGGCCCCAGTGGTCCCAGCACTGGGGTGAGATTCATCACCCCCTGGGTGAAGAAGACACAATCACTGGGATAAGCAGCTGTTAACAACCATTAACAAACACATCCCCAGGTGATTGCCAACGGCTCCCTGGAAGAAGTAACCTATGAGACCCCATTAGGAGTCAGCAGGCTGAGCTGGGCTGTGTGTCCTTGAGCAGGTCAGTCCCCCTCTCTGGCCTCAGTTGCCTTATCAATAAAAGGAGTCTGGACACGCTGACGGTGACAGTCTTTCCCAGCCCAGTTGTGTAGTTCTGGGTTAAAGAGGATGAGAAAAGCTACGGGGCATGGGTTCATCCTGGAACAAAGTCAAGGAAATGGAACAGTCTGAAGGAAGATGACAGCGGCCAAGGATTTTCCTACTGAACCTTTTGGACAAGGCCACTTGCCCGGCCTCCTCTGGTGTGGAACTGTCGAGGGCCCCGGAGTGGGAGGGGGCGGGTGCGGGGAACTAAGCCAGGACATAAGCCCCGCTCAAGAGTGGTCACAGTTCTGGGGCGCCTGGGTGGCGCAGTCGGTTAAGCGTCTGACTTCAGCCAGGTCACGATCTCGCGGTCCATGAGTTCGAGCCCCGCGTCAGGCTCTGGGCTGATGGCTCAGAGCCTGGAGCCAGTTTCCGATTCTGTGTCTCCCTCTCTCTTTGCCCCTCCCCCGTTCATGCTCTGTCTCTCTCTGTCCCCCCCCCAAAAAAATAAACGTTGAAAAAAAAAATAAACAAACATTAAAAAAAAATTGTTTAAAAAAAAAAAAAAAGAGTGGTCACAGTTCTGAGGGCCAAAGTCTGAGAATCCTTATCAGCTTCTGCACAGTGATTCAAAGCCAGTTCAGGCTCAGCCAGAAGGGGGATTTCCTGGCCTGCTGGGGGCGAGAGGCAGGAGTGGTTTCCTCCTTCCAAGAAAGAAGATGTGACTATAAGAAGTTCTGTTTTCAGCAAAGTGAAAACACTCCCTTCCCTTTCTCCCCCAAACCTTACTGGAGGGGTGGCCGGGCAGAGGTTCTGACTCCCTCGGGAGGCCCCAGCCAGTCTCAAGGCAGGGGGAAGGGAGGGTATGGAGCAGAGAGAAGCCGAACCCATAGCACAGAGGCATTTCCCTGCTTTAGAGCAGCTTTGGGTTTGCAGAGTCCTCTTGGCTAACACGGATTCCGTACTCCTTACAGAGCAGGTGCCCACTAAGCATGTCACAGACGCTGTCTTAGGAAGATTTCCTGCAATGCTGAGAGGTCAGGGCAGGACTAGCCTCTGCATTTTGTGGCTGAGAAGCCTGAGGCTCCAGAGAAATGAAACAACTTGCCCAAGGTCACACGGCAGGTCCAGGAACGGGAGATAGGAAACCACAGGTGGAGAGGGAGTGGAGATCCTCACTCGGTCACTGTCACAGAGGCACCAAAGCTCCGAAAACTCGGGAAATGGAGGTTGGGCCAAGTGAAATGAACTGTTCAGCAGAGACGCTGAGGGCAGAGAGGTAGGGCCACGGCCTCTGCTTGAGAAGTGCCCAATACATTCAGAGTCACTAAAACCAACCAACCAACCAAGTAATAGCACTGGGTTTGGGAGACACATCCCAGCTCTGCAAACCTCTGCCTCCATTTCCCCATCTTTAAACTTCAGGGGTTTGGAGTGTGAATTGAATGACATAAATTATAGGAAGGACCCTTAGCACAAGGCCTGGCACATAGTAAACACTTAAATGTCAGTTACCATGATTATTACTAAGACTGACAAAACAATACTCCTTTTTCCCAGCCAGGATCAGCCCCCTGAGGGCAGGTTGCCATGAGCTCGTCCCTTTCACAGACGAGGAAACTGAGGTCCAGTAAGGGATCTCCGCTTCCTTCTTCTGTAAGTTGAAGGAATTGGGCTGGATGCTCTCACTCCCAAGCTGGGCAAGCAGCAAGGGGTAGGGCAGAGAGAGGGATCACTCCCTGCACTCCACTGAGCCCCAGGGCTGCCCTACCGAAGAATGATGCCCCCCCACCATGTCCTGAATGTGAGGCTTCCCAGTTCCCAGCCTCCCAGGTGCCCAGGCAGCTTTGAGGTCAGAGACAACAGCTGTGATCCCTTGAGTGCAAAACCTGCTGGGGATCCCTGCTGCCCTGGGAGGGAGGAGGAGGCCACTGTGCGGCCAGGTGCCTTCCCGGGAGACTCGGTTGGTACCCAGAATCCACCTGCCCCTCAGGGAGAGACTTGCAGCATCTCCTCGTTGAAATCCAACCTGCCCTGCTCCGGGCTCTCTGGTTGCTCCCTGTCCTGGACGACCTTCCTGGGCGTCTTCAGAAATCTGGAATTTGGGCCCCAGGAGCAAATCAGCCCTTGCCCTAGCCGCAGAGAGTTTCCAGCCCACCCAAGCCCAGCCCTGCTTCCCCTTTTCACCTCGGCCCCTAGGCTATTCACCTGAACAGGAGCTTCTGCCCAGGTTCTTTCTTGATGATGTTCAGCTTATAGTAGTGTCGCAGGGCACGTGACATCTTCTCGTAGGTCATGTTCACCCGGTTCTAGAAGGCAAAGCAGTCCCACGTCACCCTCCGCTCCCTATCTTGCTCCTTCCAGGCCTTGGTTTCCACACCTGGAAAGGAGCAGGTCGAACTGGATGGTTTCTTAAGCCCCTCAGCCCAGGGTTCTGTGAGGGGTTACAAGAGTTCTCTTGAGTTTGGGAGGAGAAAGGCAGGGGAAGGTCGGAGGACAAATACGGGGCTGGGAACCACGGGGCAGGAGTGACTCACACATTGCTTTTAAGTAGCCAATGTCACAAGTAGTAACAAATAAGTATATATCTAGTTGGAAATGACAACAGCTAGCTCGGTAAGGGGCATATGGTAGGAGTAGCCCCCGCCAAGCTGCGTGACTTTAGCCAAGGTATTTCCTTCTTCTCTCTCTGAGGGGTGGGCAGTGCAGAGGAAGGGCAAAGAGGCTGGGTTTTGGGGTCAACATAAAGCAGCTGCGTGACCTCGGGTAAGTTTCTTTACCTCTCTGCATCTGTTTCCCCGGCTATAAAATGAGGATCAGAACATCCATCCCACAGGTTTGAGGATTAAATTAGCTAATCCATAGAGCACTTAGCACAATGCTTGGCAGGTAGTACACGTTCATGGAATGGAATTGCTGCTCTCTGGGCCTCAGTTTCCCTCCCTGTACTATTTGGGGATTGGACCAGGTAAGCACGCCCAAACTTTAGTCCAGTGCATCCTTCCAGCCCCCAGACCACTGAGAGGCAACAAGAGGGGAGCATTGAGCCACACTCTCTGTGTTCAGCCCCCGCTCTGCCATCCACTGCCTGCAAACTCTTGGAAAAACTGCTCTGTGCCTCCATTTCCCCTCTGACGCCTACCTCATGACGTCTCCTGGGAATTAGATGCGTTACTATGGGGAAAGCTCTCGGAGCAGCACCTAGCAATCAAACGCTATGCCATTTTAAGAAATGCTATCTCCTGTAGATCACCATTATTGCTAATAGTTTTTTTTTAAGGCTCCTTTTTTAGTTACATGACTTTATTTATAGACACGGACACTTGCTTTATATCACCAGTGTCAATCAAGAAACTGACATCGTAGTTAAAACTTTTCATCTTCCTTCTTACTAACACAAATAATTATTAGAATTTGGAGTCAGCCACCTAAAGTCGTCTGGCAGGTGCCCTTTTTAGGTATAGGCGTCCCTCACACTGGGAATGCTGGTCCCAGGGGTTCCCAGGCCTTTCCAGCCCTGACGCCTGATGCTCCCGCAGGGCCTGAGACCTGGATTTCTACCCCAGCTGCCCCCCGGAAACCAGTTTCCTCATCTGGCCCAGCCGTCCCGCAGCAGATGTGGCACCACTCATGGAAACATGCTTTGAAAGTCTCACGGGGCGCCTGGGTGGTTCAGTCCGTTAAGCGTCTGACTTCAGCTCAGGCCATGATCTAGTGGCCTGTGGGTTCGAGCCCCGCCTCGGGCTCTGTGCCGACAGCTCAGAGCCGGGAGCCTGCTTCAGATTCTGTGTCTCCCTCTCTCTCTGCCCCTCCCCAGCTCACACTCTGTCTCTGTCTCGCTCTCAAAAGTAAATAAACATTAAACAAAATTTAAAAGGTCTCAAGTGCTAAGCAAGTAGAAGGCAAGATCCCTGAACTTCCCCATCCTCAAGAAGTAACTTCCTGTCCCTCAGTCACTCCTAAAATAAAACCATCCCGACACATCTGGAGCTGCTGGTGAAGCCCCCGTCCATTGAGGACCATCCCTTAGTGCTGATGGGTCCACTCTGACCCCCCACCCTGTCCTCTTCCGGATGTGTGGAGGTCATCCCACCTGGTGGCTGAGGTCTACCTTGTGGTTTCCCCAGAGTCTGGCAAGCCCGTTTGGATCCACAACTCTGAAGATCTTGGCGTTCTTGTCTTCCCACCTGATGTAGGGCTCGTACCTGGTGTCAGAGAGCAGCTGGTACACATAATCCCACAGCAGCCGGCAATCTGCAATAGAGCACAGAGGGTAGGGACAGGGCACTCTCCTGGAGCTGTGAGGATAGGCATTAATTAGTAAGGTGCTTTGGGGCTCATAAGGCCCGGGCCCAGCCATGCGGCAGGATGGTCAAGACGACAATACTACCAGAAACGGCCACTTGTGGGGGCTTATTGTCTCTTTGATTTGCCTTAACTCTAGGAAATGGCTACCTTTATCCCCAGGAAGACATAAAGAATTGGGCTCAGAGAGGGGTTGGACATGTCCCGGGCACGGAGCTCCTCAGCGGCAGGCAGACCAAGGAGTCTAACTGTTAAACCCATCCTGTCAAGCACCCTGGTGAGAGGCCTGGGAAAAATCAAACATGCCATCATGGAGAGCAAGCGGCAGAGGGAGCCTGGGAACAAAAGCTTAAGTCCCCCTACCTGGGCCACCTGGCTGGGTCATTTCAGGCAGGTTACCTAACCTCTTCCAAGCCACAGTTTCCTTGTAGGGGATGATATGACAATTAAGTAACATAATATATCCCAAACTCCTTAGCACGGTACCTGGTACAGAGTAAGTGCTCAAAGAATGTTAAGCACTATTCTGTAAAAGATCAAATACTTGTGTCTCAGTGATCCCCAGTTGTTTTTGATCCAGAAGCCAGGCTCCTGCCCCCTCTGTGGTGTCTTAGAATAAATGGAGTTACTCTGCCATGGCTAACCAACACACCTTTGGAAAGGCAGCCCGTTTATCTGTCAGTCTGTCTGGCAGCCTGTTAGTCAACCCTTTAACGATGAATGTAGAAGGGAAGTGTGGCTCTGGAGCCAGACCGCCTGGGTTCACGTCCCAGCTCTGCCACTTATTGCTGTGTGATCGATCGTGGGGGAGTCCCTGAACCTCTCTGTGCCTCATTTTCCTTACCTGTAAAATGGGGCTAATAATACCAGCCTCAAAAAGCCAACGTGGGATTAAATACAAGCCTCAGAATCACACGTGGCACATAGGAAGCACCCAACCATTTATAGATAAATAAATAAATAAATAAATAGCCAGGGTGGCTTGGTCAGTTGAATGTTCGACCTTGGCCCGGGTCATGATCTCGAGGTTTGTGAGTTTGAGCCCCACGGCGTCTAAAGGAGAGGAATACTCCCCCGTTTTGCACTGCTGGTGGGAGTGCAAACTGGTGCAGTCACTCTGGAAAACAGTTATGGAGGCTCCTCAAAAAATTAAAAATAGAACTAACCTATGACCCAGCAATAGCACCACCAGGAATTTATCCAAAGGCTACAGGAGTGCTGAGGCATAGGGGCACGTATACCCCAATGTTTATAGCAGCACTTTCAACAATAACCAAATTATGGAAGGAGCCCAAATGTCCATCAAGTGATGAATGGATAAAGAAGATGTGGTGTAGGGGCGCCTGGGTGGCTCGGTCGGTTGGGCGGCCGACTTCGGCTCAGGTCATGATCTCGCGGTCCGTGAGTTGGAGCCCCGCGTCAGGCTCTGTGCTGACAGCTCGGAGCCTGGAGCCTGTTTCCGATTCTGTGTCTCCCTCTCTCTCTGCCCCTCCCCTGCTCATGCTCTGTCTCTCTCTGTCTCAAAAATAAAATAAAAACATTAAAAAAAAAAAAAAGATGTGGTGTATATCTACAATGGAGTATTACTCGGCAGTCAAAAAGAATGAAATCTTGCCATCTGTAGCAATGTGCGTGGAACTAGACTGTATTATGCTAAGTGAAATAAGTCAGAGGAACATAAATATTATATGATTTCACTCATATATGGAATTTAAGAAACTCAACGGATGAGCCTAGGGGAAGGGAAACAAAAATAAGATAAAAACAGAGAGGGAGGCAAACCGTAAGAGACTCTCAAATACGGAGAACAAACTGAGGGTTGCTGGAGGGGTGTTGGGTGGGGGATGGGCTAAATGGGTGATGAGCATTCGGGAGGGCATTTGGGAGCGGCACTGGGTGTTCTCTGTAAGTGATGAATCACCAAATTCTACTCCTGAAATCATCATGACCCTATATGTTAACTAACATGGATTTAAATTAAGAAGAAAAAAAGAAATTTCACTGAATATCTAACCAAAAACTAAAATAAAATATATAGAAAATAAAAAAACAGATTTTTAAAAACAAAAACAAAAAAATAAAGGAGCGGAATACTCACCCATGCCAAGCTCACTGTCTGACTAGGACTGGCTGAACTGGAGACAGGGTGTGCTTGGCAATCCTGGGCAGCCCTGACTGCTGTGGCTAGATTGTGGCCAGCACACAGGACAGTCACCCCACACTCCAATAGCCCAGCACAGACCCTCTCATCACCCGGCTCAAAACAACCCTCCTCCCTGTCACTCGTAACCCTCTGGGACTTGGCCTCAGCACACCTCCCTCCTGGCCAGGGGCACACAAGCCTCCTACTCACCAGTGATCCTGCCATCAATGGGAGCCTCCGGCATCATGGGGGAGGAGCAGGCTCCCTCAGCCCTGCAGCTGAGCTCTGAACAGTGAGATACGTTGAGGGAGTCCTCCCTGCCAAGGGGCCACCTGGCCAGATGGCTCAAGGAGCTGGCAAACCCCAGGTGTGGTGGCTGCTGCAGGAGACCCGTTCGGGGGGCCAATTGAGGTCGCCCAGTCCCCTCTGTAAGCAGATGAGCACCGTTGATTCTGCGGGCCCAGGGCCTCCCCCAGCCCCTCCATGCATGCCTGGGATCCCCGTGGGGCAGCACTCCTAATGCTTTTCGTCCGTCCAGTTCCCAGCTGGAAGGTCAGGGAGGCAATGGAGGACATGGGGGAGGGCCAGACAGCCCAGTGCTAACCCCAGCTCCCAGCAGGCAAGTGACATAATCTCTCAAACCTGTTCCCTCATCTGTAAAGTTGTTTGCAAAGCCAAGGGGTGACAGAGCCACATCCAGAACCCAGGTGCCTTGTATCTCAGTCCTTTGTCCTCTCCATCCACCCAACAAATATTTACTGAGAACCTTCTGTGAGCCAGGCATTGTTCTAAAATTCTTGGGGACATATCACTGAACTCAAAACAAGCCCCTGCCCTCATGGAGCTTATATTCTAGCAGTGGGGGAGTGGGAGATTGGAAAGGGAGGGAGATGGTTGAAATAAAAAAGAAAATAGAAAGAGTATAGAATGGGGCGGGGGGCAGGAATAAAGCACTCTAAGGCAGATAGGGAATCCCAGGAAAGATAGAGAGCTACGTGATGGTAAGGGAAGGCCTCACTGACGTGTTAACATCTAACAGACATCTGAAGAAAGTAGAGGAGTGAGCTATGTGGGTATCAAGAGGAGACAATGCCAGGCAGAGAGAGCAGCGAATGCAAAGGCCCTGAGGCAGGAGTGTCTCTGGTTTGTTCCATGAACATGGAGGCCAGAGTGGCTGAAGCAGCAAAGGCAAAAGGGAGAGGGGCGGGAGAGGACAGCAGAGGGCAGGAGGTCATCGTAAAGACTGTGGCTTTGACTCTGAGTGTGATGGGAGCCATTGGAAGATTTTGAGCAGAGAAGCGACACGATCGGCCTTATGAATCTCTCTGGCTGCTCTCTTGCGGATAGATCATAGGAGGTCAAGAGCAGAGCAAGGAGACCAGTGAGGAGGTTCTCTAGAGGTGATAGAGGCTGGGCCACGGACAGCAGTGGAGGTGTGGGAAATGGCTTGGTTCTGGATAGATTTTTTTAAGTTTATTTATTTTTGAGAGAGAGAGAGCAGGGGAGGGGCGGGGGGGGGGGGGGGGGGGCGGGGACAAAGGATCTGAGGAGGGCTCCGCACTGACAGCAGACGGCCCGATGCGGGGCTCAAGCTCACGAACCACGAGACCATGCTCTAAGCCAAAGTTGGACACTCAACCAACTGAGCCACCCAGGCACCCCTGGATAGATTTTGAAGGTCGAGTCAACAGGACTTGTTGACGGCTGGGATTCTGTGATTTGGGCAGGAAAGAGAGAAAACAATCAAAAGTGACATCCAACGTTTTGGCCAGAGCAATTGGGAGCATGAAGCTGCGGTTTGCTGAGACAAGGAAGCCCAGGAGAGGAGCAGGGTTGGGGGGAGGGAGGTGGGACAAGAATCAGGTGTTTGCTTTAGGAGCTTTTAGGGTTGAGATGTCCATTAGACATTGCAGGGGAAGTGTGGGGTGCAAACGTCTGGAATTCACAGAGGTCCCGGGTATCTGTAGGAATCATCAGTACCAGATGGTATAAACGCCCAATACTCCATGAAATTAACCTAGGTCTGAGTGCAGATAGAGGAGAGACCCCCTGAGTCTGGGGCTACCCCAACATTTAGAAGTAGGGGAGAAAATGAGAAGCCAAGAGGCTGAGAAGGAGTGACCGTGGGGTGTTCTGGAAGCCAAGGGAAGAGTCTGAGGGGCGGTCATGAGACGTGACAGTGATTAAGGACCAACATTGGACGCGGACATCCCCACGTTCAGGTCTCTAGAGTCCCTGACAAGAGCAATTTCCACAGGGAGATCGGGAGGAGAGGAAGTAGGGACACCAGAAAACAACACTTTGCTAGAGAGGAGAGCAGAGAACTGAGGAGATGGGAGGGGCCAGGGGTGAGGGTTGAGGAGGCAGGGCAGAGGGAAGTGGGGGGGGGGGGGGCTCAGCCCACACAGCTGCCTCTTCCATTCCTTTGCCTGGAGGAAGCCCTGCCCTCCCAAAGAGGCCGACTGAGGGGAGGTCCCAGAGCTCCGAGAAGAGCCTCCCTCACCTTCCAGGAGGCAGGGGCAGCGCTGAGGGGGCATCTTCTGCCTGAAGGCCCCTCCGAAAAAGGGCCCACGCACCAGAGCTTGCCGCTGGGTCTTGATGTACTGAAGCAGCTCATACAGGACGTCACCTGGGGGTGGGGGCAGGGGGCAGGTCAGTCACCTGCCTCTCAGGGGGCGTCAGTCACGGCTTCATGCAGACGAGATGAGAGGTGGCAGGATGGAAATGGGTAGGGGAGATGAGAGCCACGGGGAAGGGGAGGGGAAGCGACAGCAGGACAGGACACTGGGGACTCTGCAAACAACAGCCAAACAGCTTCCTGCAGGCCCGCTCTAGCGAGGGGCCCCCCGGGAAACATTTACGGAAAAGGGGACATCTGCCATGCTGGGAGGTGAGCAAGCTCCTCCAACCAGTGCATCCATCATCCCCCCCCCCCCCCCCGGGCCTACCTGGGTCTCTGTCAGCACGTTTTAGAGGGAAGCCAGCTAGTTTCCCTGACCTGAACCAGGTGCACGAAGCCGGAAGTCATCCTTGGTGAGGATGCAGAGGGCTCGGCCGTTCATCTCGAAGCCGTGCTCCCCTGTGCGCTGCAGAGAGTACTCCTGCTCGGCCCAACGCAGCCAGTGCAGCACGTCCTCCCTGCTCCAGAGTGCCGGCTGGATGCCTGCAACCACCGTGAGGACAGGGACTGGGAAAGGGCACAAGGTGGGGGCAAGGGCTCTCCCCTCAATAATCGCTCATGCTTGCACTTCAGGAGTGTCACCTCCTCCGAGAAGCCCACCCTGAACGCTACACCTGAGCAGATGCTCTTCTGTCCTGCCCCCCACTTTGTCACCACGTCCTGTTCTTTTCCTTCCTGGCACCTTACTCTCCTTGTCATTACATTTGACGTACATGTTTAGGTTTGTCATTATCTATGCCTTATGTTTGTGTTCAGTTATTTTTTTTTTTTAGTTTCTTTATTTTTGAGAGCATGCGCGAGAGAGCATGAGCAGGGGGAGGGGCAGAGAGAGAGGAGACAGAGAATCCCAAGCAGGCCCCGTGCTGTTAGCACAGAGCCCTATATGGGTCTCGAACTTACAAACGGTGAGATCGTGACCTGAGCTGGAGTCAGGGGTCAGACGCTTCACCGACTGAGCTACCCAGGTGCCCTGTGTTTGCCTATTTTGTTTTTGGTGGCTCCTCCTACCAGCCCAGCCTGCTTTCCAACTATTAACTCAGCAAATGTTTACTAAGGAACTATTATGTGCCAGGCACTGGGCGGGATGTGCTGGGGCACGTTGTTGTATGTATTCAGCACCCAGGACGGTGCCTGGACCATAGGAAGTGCTCCCTAAACAGGTGTTGACCGATTGCATGTATGGTTAAACGGTCCTACAAAGAACGTGTGTTGCCGTTACTGTTTTCCCAATGAGGAAGCTGGGACTCCCAGAGGTTAAGTGACTAGCCTCGGGTGACACAGGTAGCACAAGGTACGGCCAGGCCCAGAATCCAGGTCTGTCTGGCTGCCACACGCTTCAGCTCTAATGCGCCAGCTCAGGTCTGGGCTTGCTCAGGGAACCGCCCAGCGGACAAGGAAGTCTCCTGCACCCATTTCAGCGTGTGTGTTCTTATCTCTGGAAATACCCAGACAAGCAGTTGCTTTATTTGATTCCTTCCTATGCTTCTACTCTGCCTGGGTCTATTAGGCAACCAGTGCCAAATATTTACCCCACTAATCTGGGTTGTGTTTAACAAGGCCACATTATGACTTTCTGGACCCTTGGGACTCTTGCCTTCCTAGGCCCCTTCCTCCACTAAAAAATATTTAAAATTATATTTTATGACTGCATTGCATAAAGACGAGTGCATCGTGATATTTTAAAACGTTTTCTTCTGCCTAAAAGTTCGTATTTTTTCTCTTGATTTCATTTTATTTTTTTAATTTTTTTAATGTTTATTTATTTTTGACAGAGAGAGAGAGACAAAGTACGAGCAGGAGAGGGGTGGCAGAGAGAGAGGGAGACATAGAAACCGAAGCGGGCTCCAGGCTCTGAGCTGTCAGCACACAGCGTGATGTGGGGCTTGAACTCATGAACCATGCGATCATGACCTGAGCCAAAGTTGGAAGCTGAACCGACTAAGCCACCCAGGTGCCCCTCTCTTGATTTTAAAAGAAGTCAGAACATTTTTGTGGGCCCCTAAACGTATTGGAGCCCCCCCAGCCTTGTGCCCACTGTGATGGCAGCCTGGTGCTTCACTTTGTGTGGTTCTTGTCCTCCCGAGAGCTTTTTCAGCCCTGTCAGGACCCTGGCCACGTGACAGTGGAAGGCGCCCAGCTCATCAGGGCTGGTGTGACAGGTAGGAAAACTGAGACGGAGGAGGTAACTGTCCAAAGACTAAACCAACCTGTGACTGCCTTGGTCCCAAATTAGCGCAAGAGAGAAAACCAGTTTTCCCGTTTACCACAAAAGAAAAAGTGCATCTGCTTGATCATCGATTCAGCCAATATCTAATGAGCACTGGCCATGTGCCAGGCACTGTGCCACAGCTGGGGACATGGCCCAGGGGGAGGCTGGCAGGAGCGAGGCAACCAATGACTAAGGACCATTCCTGCTCAGCTGCACAGAGGGACGGGGCTCCAGGCTACAAATGCAGAAAGCAGGGCAACACAGCCCGGCTTGGGTGGAAGGAGAGGCTCCCCTTACTTTATTTTGGGACCTGAGAAGGAATAATAAAGAAGAAATATCTGAAATTGAGTAAAAAATTAAGGGGGAAAAAAGAATAGAAGTGGCAACTGACCTTTGCGGTATGCAGTACCATCAAGATCTGATGCTGTTACCTAAGACTAGCAAGTATCATTGGGACAGAAGGAGCCAGGAGATGTGTGTATATTTGCATGCGTGCACACGCGCACACGCGCGTGCGTGTGTGTGTAAATTTAATACATGATAGAGATGGGATTTTAATTCAGTGGGAAAGGATAGTGAACTTAAGACAGGGTAAAACCATGACTGGTTTGCCACCTGGTAAAAATATATTTGGATCTTCACCTGTCACCATTTATCAAAAGCAGTTCCAGGTGGATTAAGACCTAATGAATACAACGATAGAAACCTGAATAGAAGTGGAAATAGGGGGTGCCCGGCTGGCTCAGCCAATGGAGCATGTGACTCTTGATCTCGGGGTTGTATGCTCGAGCCCCACATGGGGTGTGAGGTTACTTAAAAATGAAATCTTTTAGGGGCGCCTGGGTGGCTCAGTCAGTTGAGCATCCGACTTCGGCTCAGGTCATGATCTCGTGGTTTGTGGGTTTGAGCCCCTTGTCGGGCTCTCTGCTGACAGCTCGGAGCCTGGAGCCTGCTTCCGATTCTGTGTCTTCCTCTAGCTGCCCCTTCCCTGCTCACACTCTGTCTTTCTCTCAAAAATGGAAAAACATTAAAAATTGTTTCAAGGGGTGCCTGGGTGGCTCAGTCAGTTGAGTGTCCGACTTCGGCTCAGGTCATGATCTCGCGGTCCGTGAGTTCGAGCCCCGCGTCGGGCTCTGTGCTGACAGCTCAGAGCCTGGGGCCTGTTTCAGATTCTGTGTCTCCCTCTCTCTGACCCTCCCCCGTTCATGCTCTGTCTCTCTCTGTCTCAAAAATAAATAAACATTAAAAAAAAAATTTTTTTAAATGTTTCAAATAAAATCTTTTACTTTTTTAAAAAAAGTTTATTTATCTTGGGAGAGAGAATGGGAGCAGGGGAGGGGCAGAGAGAGAGGGAGAGAGAAAATTCCAAGCAGGCTCCGCACTGGCAGTTTAGAGCCCAATGCGGGGCTCAAGCACACAAACCCTGAGATCATGACCTGAGCCAAAACCAAGAGTTAGACATTCAACTGAATGAGCCACCGACTGGGTGGCGCAGTCGGTTAAGCGTCCGACTTCAGCCAGGTCCTTTTGTTTTTATTTAGAAAAAATTTTTTAATGTTTTATTTATTTTCAAAAGAGAGAAAGAGAGAGAGTGAGCAGGGGAGGGGCAGAGAGAGAGACACACACAGATCTAAAGCAGGCTCCAGGCTCCAAGCTGTCGGTACAGAGCCCAACGTGGGGCTCGAACCCACAAACCCACAAACCGTGAGATCATGACCTGAGCTGAAGTCGGACACTTTACCAACTGAGCCACCCGGGTACCCCTAAAGTCTTTTTTTTTAAGTGGAAATAGGAAACCCATATGCATTAAACATGGGTAGGTGAGCCCTCAACCACGACAGGAAATTCAGAGGCTATAACAAGTGAAAGATACATTTGATTACATAAGTTGTGTGTGTGGTAAAAGACACCATAAACGAAATTAAAAGAGGACAGAATAAAGGGAAATATTTACAATGCAGATAACAGATAAAGGGCTAATGTCAGGGCACCTGGGTGGCTCAGTAGGTTAAGCATCTGACTTCAGCTCAGGTTATGATCTCAAGGTTCACGAGTTTGAGCCCCTCGTCAGGCTCTGTGCTGACAGCTCAGAGCCTAAAGCCTGCCTCAGATTCTGTCTCCCTCTCTCTCTGTCGTTCCCCTGCTCTCACTCTCTCACTCTCCCTCTCTCTCTCAAAAATAAATAAATATTAAAAAAAAAAGGGCTGGGACGCCTGGGTGACTCAGTTGGTTAAGCGTCCAGCTTCCACCCAGGTCATGATCTTGCAGTTTGTGGGTTGAAGCCCGCTTTGGCCTCTGTGCTGTGTGCTGACGGCTCAGAGCCTGGAGCCTGCTTCGGATTCTGTGTGTGTGTGTGTGTGTGTGTGTGTGTGTGTGTGTGTGTCTGCCCCTCCCCTGCTCATGCTCTGTCTCTCCCCCCCTCTCAAAAATAAACAAACATTTAAATAAATAAATAATTTTTTAAAAGGGCTAATGTCTATCACAGAGGAAGAGCATCTCTACACTGATTTTTTTTTAAGACAAAAAAATCTTACCAGCAATTCACGGTGGAGCAGGATTTCTCAGCCTCAGCACTACTGACACTTTGTACCTGATAATTCCTCCCTATGGAGGCTGTGCTGAGCTTTGTGGAATGCTTCCCAGCATCCCTGGCCCCCTGCCCACTAGATGTCAGCAGCAAACACACACACACACACACACACACACACACACACACTGCCCAACAAGAGTGACAACCAAAAATGTCTGCAGACATTGCCACATGTCCCCAAGGGAGAGGGGCAAAACCAATGCCAGTTGAGAACTTCTGCAGTAGAACAAATCCACTAATACTCAGGTGGCAGGACGTGACACCTCACTGGTCCCCGACAGGCACAATCAAAGAGTGAGATAGCATTTGAACGATAGCGCCCACAGCTGGCAGGAATGCAGGGAACAGAATGCCTGGCTGATGGAAATAGAAATGAGGAGCCTCCGCGGGAGGTCCGTCCAGTGGCTGCAGAAGTGACTGAGACACAAAAGCTGCGTGGTGTGAAAGCTGGAGGCCACCCGACAGTGAGATTCAGGAGTGCCAGGGGCAGGCCTATGAGCCAGCCAGGGCTTCTGGGGCTCTGGAGGCCAACTGGCCATTGCATTTTTTTTTTTTGTGGGATTGCATATTCCATGATCTTGGAGGCTGTCGACGTGAAAATTCAAAACTATGATCCTGAGTCAGAAGGGTGCATTGTCCCGTGTGTGGCCAGAGGGTTGGGATGGATCCCACACCCCTCTAGCT